GGTCTGAATTCCTGCTCAACCATGGAAACGCACAGAGGGAAGAGGTCACAAATAAAACCAGTGCTTAAATCTCTCACCTTGAAAATTCTGTTAGAGTCACTGTAAATCAGATGCGACTTGATGGCAGATAGCACAAATAAATGTATGCATTAGGAAGATGAACAGAGCATTGCATTATGTTATACATTATATAATCTGATCAGAATAAAATAAGGGGAAGATGGAAACAATGTGCTGAAGAACTACACAAAAGAATACTGACACATGTCTTCAAAGAAAAATCTTTGATGGAGAATGTGCCATTTTTGAAAATGAAGTGAGATCTTATCTCAAAGTAATTGGAATACGCAAATCACTAAGAGTAGATGCTAATGGAATTATTTCAAGCTACAGAGACTGAATCTATTTAAATCTTAAGAATATATTAAACCAACAAAGATGGAAAATAAAACAATGGTCTAAAGATTGGAAATGTTGCCATATATACCCCAGTCCCAAAGAGAAGAAAACAACAAGGACTGCATTAGTTGTAGGACCATTGTGTTTATTTCCTATGGAAGCAAAGTGATACTCAATGTTTTACTGCAAAGATTTTTACCATATATGAGACAAAATCCTCCTCCACCACTTTGCATCTTGTCAGCTGGATGATTTCATCATCCAGGGCCAGTAATATTTAATTTAAATGAATCAAAAGCTTCCTCCCCCCCCCCCAGTTCCAAGGCTCTCTAGGACTCATTCTTGCCATGAGGAAGCCTTCGGGAGCCTCCTGACTGGGATGGGGGAAGCCCTTAATAGCCAAAAAGCACCATCAAGGTTGGGACAGTGGGCAGCAATTTTTGACTATTAAAGACTCTCCCTGCCCATCCTCCCAAAGGTTTTCCTAAAGCAAAAAGAAGCTAGAGGGAGCCTGGGAATAAGAAACTTTCCATTCATTTAAATTAAATATTCCTGGTACTGAATGATGGTGTCATCTGGCTTGCATGGCTTCAAGTGGTGCAAGAGGATTCATGCAAGAGGATTTTGCATAAATTTAGACCAATAGGATTTTGGCCATGGAATGGGAAATGTCAGCTGCTCAAGCGGGATTCAGAAAAGGAGGAGGTACTAGGGGACACATCAAGCCGATTCTGTTTAAATTACATTGGTTACCAGTTGCTGCCCGGGCCCAATTCAAACTGCTTGTTTTGACATATAAAACCCTAAAAGGCTTGGGCCCTGGATACCTGAAGGCCCCCCTCCTTCCATATGAACCTACCCGGCAGTTAAGATCTAGCCAGGGGGCCCTTTTGAAAGAGCCATCCCTTAAGGAGTTAAGAGGGATGGCTTGTAGACAGAGGGCCTTTTTGGCAGCTGCCCCAGACTATGGAACGCCATCCCAATTGAGATTTGTCTGGCATCAACGCTGATGACATTTCGGCGCCAGGTCAAAACCTTCCTGTTCCAGAAGGCTTTTAACTGAAATAATATCAACTGTGGGTCCTGGTGGCAATTTTTAGACTATATATTTTAATTGTATTTTAATTGCCTTATGTTTTTATTGTATTTTAATTGTTGTAAGCCACCCAGAGACCTTTGGGTAGTGTGGGCAGCACATAAGTTAAATAAACAAACAAACAAACAAACAAATAAATAAATAAATAAATAATAATAATAAAATAAAATAAAATATTATTATATTGTAAATATACATTGGTTACTTGAGCATACCAAATAATTTCAAAGGAAATTCAGTTTGTTCTTCATAGATTGCAGCAAAACCTTTAATTATGGAGGTTATGAGAAGCTGTGACTGTTCTGAAAGAAATGGAAGTGCCATGACATTTGATTGCCTGATGTGTGAAATGTGTTCTGGATAAGCAGCTGATGTTAGAATGGAATATGGAAAAATAGGATGATTTCCAAATGGTTCAGGTATCAGGGGAGGTTGCATTTTATCCCCTTTTCTGTTCAATCTGTACACAGAACAAATCATATGGATATATGGATTTGATTCAGATGAAGCGGAATGAAAACTGTTGAAAGAAACACCAACAGTTTAAGATTTGCGGGTGACTCTGTATGACTGCCAGGAAATAGCAATGACTTAAAACAACTGCTGATGAGGAAAAAGCAAATGCAAGATTAGCACCACAGTGTATATAATTGTCACTGCTCCTTAACCCTTTATGATCCTCGAAGATTGGTATATACCTACAGTAACAGGATATTTTCTTGTTTGCTCCAGGACTTCCTTATCCCAGTATAATGTATCTAACTACTTGTATCTACAGAAACTGTTTTAATTAATACTGTCAGCATCTGCCAAGATTTTGCTCTGATTTGTTCCACTGATTGATCATCAATAAATATTGTGACAGTAGGGTGAATACAGCCTGCCACCTTACCTTTGAGTGCTAATCCTCTTCTTCTTAGCATACACAACTAAGGTTTCACACAGGTCTTTCCTGTTATATTTTAAGAGGATCTGAAAAAGTAAACTTTAATGGGCTAGAAAGAGGAACAGATATTACAGGTGCCTGTATCTTCTGCGCTACTCTGTCATTTTCCTTTCCTGACCTTAAATATGTTGCCACTTCTTAACTCCATTATGAATTCCAGAGATGTTTCTCTCCTTAGGCCTTTGAGTAAAAAAGTGACAATATCTTTCCCATTTGTGCAACAGTGTTCAGAATCATATTGCTTATGCACACTGATGTAAATGTAACACGTAAGTCATAGAAGAGAATTGCTACTGGCTAAGGGCTTGATGCTTGAGCTCCTCATTGCACTCCAGGTCACGTGACTGGCATGTAATAAGTAATATAGCCAGTGACTCCCTAATTAGCAGCAAGTCATCATTGTGATTTACACTATTGCACTTATGCAGGCATATGTGAGCAATAGGATTCTGCCAATGTGTTGTAACAGTTAAGTTACCCAGTTCATGAGCAGTTGGCAAAAAACCTTGGCTTCTATGAATGGCATATGATTCATGGTCTGACATTCTGAGCCTTTGGAACAATTCTGAAAGTTTTGGAATTAGTGCACCCACATAAATGTGCTTTACCCCTTTACAAGATGGAATTTCCAAACATCCAGAGACAATACAATGTATCTATAGCCTAGCCAATGGAAACCTAATCAAGAGAGATTATGTTTTCAAAGAGATGAAGTAAAGTCCCTGGTCTATTTGTGCAATTGGCATTTGCATTAGTTTTGGCATCTTGAAATAATAATATATTATCTTCTGGCACTAAAGCTAATACAAACACTTTTTATCTTCCATTGTATACATGTCATGCAGGATTTATGGGCAGAGTTACATCTAGTAATTTATATCTAGAAGCCTGCAAAATAAAATTCTGCAGAATGTGTGTGTTAAATCATTCTGTACCTAGACTGTATCACAGTTCTCTGCCTGTTTTCTCAGAAGTATGTCCCAGTGAGTTCAATGATTTTGCATCCAGTTTAAGTGTGTTTAAGCCTTAATGTGAGTTTTTGGGCTCTGAGCACTTTATGGAAGGAAATCATAAGCAGATCTGAACAAGTCAGGGCAAAAAATTGTGTCATTGTCAGGAATTGAATTCACATTTGCACGAACCCCAAAGAGGGGTATCTTAAGCACAATTTAAAAAACACAAAGAAAATTAAAAATGAGAGTCTACTGTGTTTTTGCTATAGCTTGACCGTTCCATGTGCCATCTCCTCTTAATTTAATGCTGTTTTTAGAATCATAAAATAATGGAGTTGGAAGAGGCCTTTAAGGCCATTGAGCCCATCCCCCTGCTCAATGCGGGAATACAAATCAAAGGATATCTGACAGATGGTTTTCTAATTTTCTCTTGAATGCTTTCCACATTGGAGTGCTCACTACCTCCCAAAGTAATAATAACTTCATCTTGAGAACAGTTCTTCCCATGGCAGCACACAGTTGCCAGTAAATAATCTGATTTCACACAAAATAAGTATAAATATTATTGGGGGTGGGGAGGATGAGGAATGGAAATGGTCGTCTGCACATGGTGGTCAAGGGTACTCAGACCTGTTCTTCAAATGATGTGGTCATCCCTGCTTTGGTTTTCTCCTTCTGTAAGGGAATGGCAACTTTATTTTACTGTTGTACATCTTTTTGCCTTCACTTTATTTTACTTCATTAATAGAGACAGGATATTTTTATTACTTTGTTACATGATTAGCTAGGAATGTTTAATGAAAATGTTTTTGAGAAGCCATGTAATTGAACATAATAAATTCAGACTATTCTAAGGCCTGTTGGAAATGTGATAAAGAAATTGGCATGTATTATTATATGTGGTGGGTGTGTAAATTGATTCAGAAATTTTGGAAATTGATTTAAATTTATTTAAATCAATTTATTTAAGGAAATATGTGATATATTTGAAAAAGATACTGAATTTAACTCTAAAATTGCTTTGTTGTCAATTTTTTATAAGATAGAACTTGATTATTGCTCAAAGGAATTGATTTCTAATTTTATGACAAGTGCTAGAATATTAGCAGCTAGATACTGGAAAGACAAACATGATATTAAATTAGAAGACTGGTATAACAAAGTATAGGACATTGTGTTAAATTACAAATTGACTACTGAACTTAAGATGAAAAAAGGGGAAATAAGTTTAAATATTTTTATGCTATTCGGGGTAGATTTACTGAATTTGTATTAGTGAAAGGAAAGGGGAAAGTCTCTAAGCAACAATCAATACAATTTTGGAAAGGAGGTTTGTAGTAAAAGAATTGCTCCAAAGGGTCGTGTGGGTATGGGGGGTACACTGTGTCTTAGATTGTTAGTAAGTATTTTGTATTGTTGTATTTATTTTGGAAAAATAAAAAATATTTTTTTAAAAAGGAAAAAAAGGAATGTTTAATGAGAATAAAAAAATATTTTTTTAAAAAAGGAAAAAAAGGAATGTTTAATGAGAATGTGTTTGAGAAGCCATGTAACTCTATTCAACTGCATTTTTAAAAACAATTAAAGGGTTTATCTTTGAAATTAGATGCTCCCCAGCCCCAGTGCAGAAAGAGTTGTGAAGCCACGGAAAGCCTTGAGCAAGGAGAGCTTTCTGAAATGTCCCATCAAGAAGACAAGGAAGAGGACAAGATACCTTCTGGTGTCTCATCTTCTCCGCCTGCCCTTTGCTTGAATGAAGTGGAAAACATGCAAGTAGAGATGCTAGAGAAGGCCAGGGAGCTCTTCAGACTCTGTGACAAAGAGGAGAAGGGCTTTATTACCAAGCTTGACATGCAGGTAAGTAGAAGAGATGACTCTGCTTCCTGCTTTAGATTGGGCCAGAGGTCTCACTGCACGTCCCTTATTGCTTTGGTTTTTGAACATTGCCAGACTCCAGTCAGTGGGTAGGGAAACTTGGGGGCGGGGATCTCAGTGACACCTGCAGAAAATCCACATCGATCCCCACCAGAAGGCAATAGTCCAAACTGTTTTCCAAATAAGAAAGGAAGTTCTCTTTCTCCTGAGTTATTGTCCATGAGCTCTGTTGTGCCATTGATGAATTTGGAAAACAGTAGCGCTTTCTGTGGCATCTAAAGTACTAGCAAGTCTTTTAGGGCACTAGCAAACTGACTTCTGCTAATTTTCCTATGGGTTATGTACCATTAAGGTCACGTTGGGATTTGTATCCTGTTCAATTCAGCCTGTTATATGCTAGTTAGAGGAATAGGCTATGTTTATTAAAGAAAAGAGATGGCTTAACCATAGTTATTTGGTAATAAATTAAACAGTATTGGATATCATGTGAGTTTTGCCTTCTGGTAGAGATTGATGTAGATTTTGCACAGGTGTCACTGAGACCCCTCCAAGTTTCCCTACTGTTCAAAAATTCCACAAGAGCTCCCACTTTCCCAGCTGTGAGTGGAGACGTCCCTCCACTTTGACCCCTGATCTGGGTTAGATTGGAAGGCACTGTGAAGGTTTGCCAAAGCAAGCAAGTAAGCAGGCAAATAAGTAAACAAGACGTCCGGCTTGGACAGTTGGAATGTGGCCACTTGACAACTTTAGGCACAGTAGAGAAAGTTTGGAAAATGGAATGAGATGAGTTTGTTTACTGATTTGATTTATATACTGTATTGTCTTTCTTCCAAAAGTGGGATTCATGGGGTTTCACAATGAGATTAACTTTTTTTAAAAAGTCCAGATAAAATCATACACACAAATATTAAAGCACAGTTAAGGAACTCATAATGAAATCAATTGAATCAAAAGCAATTAAAAGTATAGTGCCTACTCATGTCTCCACTTCTTCTGTCAGTCACAAACCAATGTCTGGACCTGATCTTCCCCTTTCTAATTTGTTTTTCTTTTTGTCCATAGAGGCTGCAAAATGAACTGCCCCTCACGACTGAACAACTAGAAGCTGTTTTTGACAGCCTGGAGCAAGATAATAATGGCTATCTCACCCCAGTGGAGTTCAGTATGGGACTGGGTAAGAGAAAGATTGGAGTCTAGGGTGTTAGAGATGGTATATGAAAATAATTATGGCAACTATTGTGTAAGATCTATGGAAACCAATGGTGGGGAATGTGTAGTATTCTAAGTGTTGGACTACGAGACCTGGGCAGTATAGCCAATGCTGAGGAATGTTCAGAGTTGTCACTCAGCAACATCTGAAGGGCCACATGTTTCTCATCCCTGATGCAGGCAAAGAGTGCATGGAATTAAGTTTCTCCATTCTAGACTATGTTTAGCTTACATTATGTGGTCATGAACCAAAGTGTAGAGAACTCAGAAGTGCTCCAAGCTATGAGTGGCCACAAGATATGAGTGGAGGGAATTCAAACTAGTGAAATATTTATCCATCCCAAATATTTGTGTGGAAGAGGATGGGTTGTGTCTTTTTGCTTGATACAAAAAAACAAAAACAAAAACAAAACACTTTGTGTAAATGCTGTGGACCTTCTGTCTTTGTTGTTAGAAGTTGATTCGAAATCATGGCAGCCATAATATGGTTTTCAAGGTATGTGAGATGTTCAAGGAATGGGTTGGGTTCGCTACCCAGTGAATTTCCATAGCCAGGTGGCAATTTGAATTTGTCTACCATACTAGCTACTAAGCCATACTGCCTTTCGTCTTTGCCTCCTTCCTGAGCCTTGACTTTGTGTATCTCTGAGCCTTTTCCACAAGTGCCATTCTCAGGATGGGTGAATTCCTATATACTGTGTCACATTTCATGCTTGTAGGATGTGATTGCCGAACACACAGGTAAGTGAGTAATATTGAGATGGGATCATTGTGTGCAACCAACATATTGCCTTGAATAT